TTTTTGAGACGGAGTCTCGCTCTGTCGCCCGGGCTGGAGTGCAGTGGCGCGATCTCGGCTCACTGCAAGCTCCGCCTCCCGGGTTCCCACCATTCTCCTGCCTCAGCCTCCCGAGTAGCTGGGACTACAGGCGCCTGCCACCTCGCCCGGCTAATTTTTTTGTATTTTTTTAGTAGAGACGGGGTTTCACCGTGTTAGCCAGGATGGTCTTGATCTCTTGACCTTGTGATCCACCCATCTCGGCCTCCCAAAGTGCTGGGATTACAGGCGTGAGCCACCGCGCCCGGCCCGTGCTGGCAAATACTTTTATCAAAAGCTAACAAACACCCCAAATCAGAAATTACCTTTGGTTCTTTAAATTCTAGGTCTTCTCCATACTGAATGGCAAAATCAATATGCTGCAATACAATGTTCATGCTTTCTTCATCTGACTGATCGTAAGGCAAAAATCGAACCATGCTGTAGTCATCAATCTACAAGTTGCAGATTTCAAGAAAAGTTCATTCTGAAGTTGTGCAAAATACATAATTTTCAACTTATATTTGAGTTTTATAACCATTTATACTTCTGAATAAAAACACTGATGTATTTAGGGGAAGAGGAGGAGGAGGGATAGCTAGACACAGAGAGTAAATCATTGATTTTTCTGACTTCTGATTGGCTAGAACACTTGTTAGCTTATTACTTTAACTAGACACTGTTTCACGGCTATTTATCTGAATTCAACAACCACTGGAAATTTCACAGGAGCACAAACAGTCCTGAACTCTCCAAATGGCTAGAAATAATGAGATGTTAGTTAATTTATTGGCCACTACCAATAACTACTTCTAAATTAAACTGCTGACTGACCAGCCCACAGCCCTTTTCCTTCCTCCACTTTGCAGAAAATAGGGATGAACTGTGCTTTTTATAAAGGCGGCAAATGACTGAACACAGGCAAACATATGACCAGGTGTTTAGGAAAAAAACCCAAAAAACTTCAACTTTTTTTTTTAATCTTTTTTTTTTTTTTGGAGGACAGAGTTTTTTTCTTGTTGCTCAACCTCCGCCTCCCAGGTTCAAGCAATTCTCCTGCCTCAGCCTCCCAAGTAGCTGGGATTACAGGCGTGTGCCACCATGCCCGGCTAATTTTGTATTTTTAGTAGAGACGGTGTTTCACCATGTTGGTCAGCCTGGTCTTGAACTCCTGATCTCAAGTGATCCACCCACCTTGGCCTCCCAAAGCGCTGGGATTATAGGTGTGAGCCACTGCGCGCCTGGCCCCCTTTTTGTTTTTTTGAGATGGGGTCTCTCTGCCACCCAGGCTGGAACACAGTGGCATGATCATGGCTCACTACAGCCTTGACCTCCCAGGCTCAAGGGATCCTCCCACCTCAGCCTCCAGAGTGGAACTACAGGCGTGCAGCATCATGCCTGGCTTGTTTTTTTTTTTTGAGTCTTGCTGTTGTTGGACTGGGCTGTAGTGCAATGGCACTATCTCGGCTCACTGCAACCTCCACCTCCTGGGTTCCAGCAACTCTCCTGCCTCAGCCTCCCAAATAGCTAGGATTACAGGCATGCACCACCATGCCTGGCTAATTTTTGAATTTTTTAGTAGAGACGGGGTTTCACCATGTTGGCCAGGCTGGTCTCGAACTCCTGACCTCAGGTGATCCACCCACCTCAGCCTCCCAAAGAACTGGGATTACAGGCATAAATCACTGCACCTGGCCTAATTTTTTTTTTTTTTTTTTTGAAACAAAGTCTTACTCTGTTGCCCAGGCTGGACTGTTTTTTTTTTTTTTTTACTCACTGCAACCTCCACCACCAGGTTCAACTGATTTTTTTTTTTTTTTTTTCCAAGTACTGGGATTACAAGTGCACACCACCATGTCTTTTTTTTTTTTTTTTGTATTTTTAGTAGAGACAGGGTTTCACCATGTTGGCTTTTTTTTTTTTTTTTCTCTTAACCTCAAATGATCAGCCTGCCCTGGCTCCCTTTTTTTTTTTTTTTTAGGTGTGAGCCACTGCGCCTGGCCTAATTTAAAAATTTTTTTTTTTTTTTTTGTTGTTGCCCACGCTGGTCTTGAACTCTTGGACTCAATCTTCCCGCCTTGGTCTGCCAAAGTGCTAGGATTAAAGGCATGAGTCACTGTTTTTTTTTTTTTTTTCCAAACTTTAAAAGCTTACCAGTCCACATATAGCTTTTTTTTTTTTTTTTTTTTTTTTGCTTCTTAAGTCACTTGTAGAATCTTCTAATTTTTTTTTTTTTTTTGGATCTAAAAACCTTTAAAAGAGAGAAAGACTGATGTTTTTTTTTTTTTTTTTTTATAAACCAACCAAACTTCCCATCTAAATAAAACTTTTTTTTTTTTTTTTCAATTGAGATCTGATAATGGAAGAAGAGTGAACTCACTTCTCAATTTCCTTTTTCGCTTTTTTACTCAGCAGATCCATTTTTGTCATGATGTTGACTTGTGGAATTTCTAGAGAGATCATGGCACTTAGGGCTGCCAAGATTTTTTTTTTTTTTTTAAGGAGGAGACAGAAAAGGGAAGATGAACTGACTGTTTTTTTTTTTTTTTTTTGGCCTTTGCATAAAGGGTCTTCTATTCCTCACTGGTTTTTTTTTTTTTTTTATAAAAGAAATGCAGGCTGGGCATGGTGGCTCACACTTTTTTTTTTTTTTTTTGGGAGGCCAAGGTGGGCAGATCACCTGAGGTCAGGAGTTCAAGACCAGCCTAGCCAACATGGTGAAACCTTGTCTCTACTAACAATATTTTTTTTTTTTTTTTTGGTGGCACGTGCCTGTAATCCCAGCTACTTGGGAGTTTTTTTTTTTTTTTTCACTTGAACCCAGGAGGCGGAGGTTCCAGTGAGCCATTTTTTTTTTTTTTTTCTCCAGCCTGGGCAACAAGAGCGAAACTCGGTCTCATTTTTTTTTTTTTTTTAATGCTAGTTCAGAACATGTGGAAAAGGCAAAAATTATTATTTTATTAAAAGAAATGCTAGCCATATAGAAAAAAAAAATGTTCCCTATTTTTTTTTTTTTTTTTTGGTTCCCAAAGGTGAGGGAAGATATAGATAATATTTTTTTTTTTTTTTTTTCAATTTAGACAGCATTTTAATTTCCTTTCCCATCTTTTTTTTTTTTTTTTTTATTAATAAAAAATTTGATCTAGGTAGTTCATAAACTTTTTTTTTTTTTTTTAGAAAATTAAAAATAGACTTTTATAAAATAGCCATCTTTTTTTTTTTTTTTTCTCCCGCTACCCTGCCCCCTCCTTTTCTTTTGAGACTTTTTTTTTTTTTTTTACTCAGGCTGGTGTGCAATGGTGCGATCTTGGCGATTTTTTTTTTTTTTTTTCTCTGCTTCCTGTACTCAAGCAATCCTCCCACTTCATTTTTTTTTTTTTTTTGGACTACAGGCACGTGCCACAATGCCTAGCTAATTTTTTTTTTTTTTTTTTTGACAGGGTCTCACTCTGTTGCCCAAGCAGGTCTGGATTTTTTTTTTTTTTTTAATCCTCCTGCCTTGGCCTCCCAAAGTGCTGAGATTATAGGTGTGAGCCACTTTGCCCAACAACCTCAGTTTTTTCTTGGTAAGCAGTTTTTTTTTTTTTTTTTTAATAATTTACTATATTTGATTTACAACATATAATATTTTTTTTTTTTTTTTGATACTAAGTAACTCTGGAATCATTTGTGAAATGTTTTTTTTTTTTTTTTTTTTAAAGGGAATTGTCATCTGCTTGTACTCATAGTTTTTTTTTTTTTTTTTTTCTTTGGGAGGCCAAGGCAGGTGGATCACTTGATGTTTTTTTTTTTTTTTTTTAGACTAGCCTGGCCAACATGGTAAAACCCCGTCTCTTTTTTTTTTTTTTTTTTTAGCCAGGCATGGTGGCACGCACCTGTAATTCCAGTTTTTTTTTTTTTTTTGGCACAAGAATCACTTGAACCGGGAGGCAGAGGTTGTTTTTTTTTTTTTTTTTGCCATTGTGCTCCAGCCTGGGCAACAGAGTAAGACTTTTTTTTTTTTTTTTAAAAAAAAAAAAAAGAAATCCGTCAGAGATTTAGCTTTTTTTTTTTTTTTTTTCCACCATGAACTGAGAATCAACAAGAAAAACTCCATTTTTTTTTTTTTTTTACTGCTCGAGCTGCTGGACCAGTTGTTTCATCACAGGCAGGTGAGTGTACAACTCAATCTGACCTACATGAAGAGTATTGCAAGAATTTTTTTTTTTTTTTTTTTGTTAAATCATCAAGTTAGAGGAAACAAATTTTCCCTTTTTTTTTTTTTTTTATAAAAGCCAACACATTTTTAAGGGGCCCACAGCCTTTTTTTTTTTTTTTTTAACCTAAGGTACTGCCACCATAGGACTCCCTATTAATTTTTTTTTTTTTTTTGAGGTTCTCTGGTTGGGCAGGGTGGCTCATGCCTGTTTTTTTTTTTTTTTTTGAGGCTGTGGTGAGTGGATCACTTGGGGCCAGGAATTTTTTTTTTTTTTTTTCAACATAGTGAAACCCTGTCTCTACTAAAAATACAATTTTTTTTTTTTTTTTTGGTGGTGCGTGCCTGTGGTCCCAGCTACTCCTTGGTTTTTTTTTTTTTTTTAATCGCTTAAACCCGGGAGGAGGCGGCTGCAGTGAGTTTTTTTTTTTTTTTTGCACTCCAGCCTGGGCGATAGAGTAAGACTCCGTCTTTTTTTTTTTTTTTTTAGAAAGAAAAGAAAAAAGAAAGAAAGAACATGAGGCTTTTTTTTTTTTTTTTTTCTGCCAATCAATGTGAGTGCTACTGACCAGATACTTTTTTTTTTTTTTTTGTAATCCCAGCATTTTGGGAGGCTAAAGTGGGAGGATTTTTTTTTTTTTTTTCTTTGAGACCTGCCTGAGCAATACAATATCTCTACATTTTTTTTTTTTTTTTACAAAGATATCTATAGTTTGGGAATATTCATCAAGCTTTTTTTTTTTTTTTTATATACTTTTCTGTGGGTATATGTATGGTCAATTAATTTTTTTTTTTTTTTTGTGAGGGACATAAATGGTCAAAGCCAGGTCAGGCTCTTTTTTTTTTTTTTTTATTTGGGCTGGGCGTGGTGGCTCACACAAGTAATCCTTTTTTTTTTTTTTTTGAGGCAGGTGAATCACCTAAGGTCTGGAGTTTGAGATTTTTTTTTTTTTTTTAGTGAAACCCTGTCTCTACTAAAAATACAAAAATTATTTTTTTTTTTTTTTTGGCACCTGTAATCCCAGCTACTTGGGAAGCTGAGACAGGAGAATCACTTGAACCCAGGAAGTGGAGACTGGAGTAAGCCGAGATGGCGTTTTTTTTTTTTTTTTTGAGTGACAGGAGTGAAACTCTGTCTCAAAAAAAAATTTTTTTTTTTTTTTTAAAAGAAAAAAAAAAAAAGAAAATTCACTATTTGGCTTTTTTTTTTTTTTTTTATTATCTGTCTCCTACCAGTCACACCTCATGACAGTTTTTTTTTTTTTTTTCTCCAGCCACATCAGCCTTTTCAGTGCCTTAAAACATTTTTTTTTTTTTTTTCTGGGAGGTGTTCAGCAGGCTGTGCCCTCTGCTTTCTTTTTTTTTTTTTTTTGCTGAAAGGCCGCCTCAGATGCCTCTCTAACCGCCATTTTTTTTTTTTTTTTCTGTACTATTCCTGTGGAATACTCAATGACAACTGAATATTAAATAATCATTTGGATGCTATTTCTTTGTACTGTCTTGAGTTCTGCCTTTTTTTTTTTTTTTTGAGGCCAGAGACCATGGCTATCTGTGCTCTATGGTATTCCCAGTGTACAAATCAAGCACTCAATAGATATACTTTTTTTTGTTTGCTTTTTTTTTTTTTTTTTTCTCTGTTGCCCAGGCTGGAATGTAGTGATGCGATTTTTTTTTTTTTTTTTTTCCGCCTCCTGGGTTCATGCCATTCTCCTGCCTCAGCTTTTTTTTTTTTTTTTACTACAGGCACCCGCCGCCACGCCCAGCTAATTTTTTTTTTTTTTTTTTTTTATGGGTTTCACCATGTTAGCCAGGATGGTCTCCATCTTTTTTTTTTTTTTTTCACCCACCTCGGCCTCCCAAAGTGCTGGGATTACAATTTTTTTTTTTTTTTTCCAGCCTCAATAGATAGACTTAATAAGTCACAGCCATTTTTTTTTTTTTTTTTGGTACTCTACTGCAGTATAGTTTAGAGCTACAAATGCTCACTCTCCCTTCTCCTATTAAGGATGGAACTATCAAGACTTTAAGGAAATTTTTTTTTTTTTTTTTTCACCTGGACAATCAAAAAGTATATAGTCGTCCTCTTTTTTTTTTTTTTTTTTCTCCAGCCAGTCAAAGTTATTGGCAAAGTACTCCTTTTTTTTTTTTTTTTCTCCATTGGGACCAAATCGCAGAGAATCATCCTCCATTTTTTTTTTTTTTTTGATCAGTTCCCGGATGTCTGAAAAGGACAAATAGGGTTTTTTTTTTTTTTTTCCCTTCAAAAATTGTTATCCTTACTAGAAATAGAACATAAAAGTTAATAATTACATAAAAAACTCATATGCAGGAAATTATTTATGTATTTTTTTTTTTTTTTTAGCAGTGTCCATCAATAGAGAAATTAGCAAGTAAATTTTTTTTTTTTTTTTTAATGGAATACTACACAGTCATAAATGGGGAAAATCTTTTTTTTTTTTTTTTTTAATACAACCTCCTAGGCATATTGTTCAGTGAAAAATGCAAGGTACAGAACTGTGTAAGAATGCTATCATTGGTGTTAATAAAAGACATTTTTTTTTTTTTTTTACATAATACATATACATCTTGAATTTTATGTGCACATTTTTTTTTTTTTTTTACCAGAAACTGGTAACACTGGCTGCTCCCAGGAAGGTTTTTTTTTTTTTTTTACGCAGAGCTGAGAGGAAGATGTTTTCCTGTATACTTTTTTTTTTTTTTTTTTACGTTATGAACCATGTGAATATGTATTACCTATTCTTTTTTTTTTTTTTTTGAAAAAAAGAAAACTGATTACCATTTCTTTTTTTTTTTTTTTTTTTTTTTTTGACGGAGTCTTGCTCTGTGCCCCAGGCTGGAGTGCATTTTTTTTTTTTTTTTTCACTGCAAGCTCCGCCCCCCGGGTTCACGCCATTCTTTTTTTTTTTTTTTTCGAGTAGCTGGGACTACAGGCGCCCGCCACCACGCCTTTTTTTTTTTTTTTTTTTTTTTTTAGTAGAGACGGGGTTTCACGGTGTTAGTTTTTTTTTTTTTTTTCTCCTGACCTTGTGATCCGCCCGCCTCGGCCTCCCATTTTTTTTTTTTTTTTACTATTTCACCTCCCTGAGCCTCACTTTCTTTATCCTTTTTTTTTTTTTTTTGAACTATGAGATAATGTATCAAAATCACTAACAGGATTTTTTTTTTTTTTTTCATGCCTGTAATCCCAGCACTTTCGGAGGGTGAGGCTTTTTTTTTTTTTTTTGTCAGGAGTTCAAGACCAGCCTGGCCAACATGCTGATTTTTTTTTTTTTTTTAAATATACAAATTAGGCTGGGTGTGGTGGCTCACGCATGTAATTCTAGCACTTTGGGAGGCCAAGGTGAGGGAATCATGAGATCAGGATTTTTTTTTTTTTTTTGCCAATATGGTGAAGCCCCATCTCTACTAAAAATACTTTTTTTTTTTTTTTTTGGTGGCGCATGCCTGTAGTTCTAGCTACTCCGGAGTTTTTTTTTTTTTTTTTACTTGAACCCAGGAGGCGGAGGTTGCAGTGAGCCAAGATCACGCCATTGCACTCAAGCCCAGGCGACAGAGCAAGACTCCATCTCAATTTTTTTTTTTTTTTTACAAAAACAGAAAAATTAGTCAGGTGTGATGGCACGTGCCTGTAATCCCAGCTGCTCGAGAGGCTGAGGCAGGAGAATTACTTGAACCTTTTTTTTTTTTTTTTCAGTGAGATGACATGGTGCCACTGCACTCCAGCCTGTTTTTTTTTTTTTTTTTCTGCCTCAGGGAAAAAAAAAAAAAAAATCACCAACTTTTTTTTTTTTTTTTATTCTGGTATGGTTATCTTACTAATTTTTAGGAATCTTTTTTTTTTTTTTTTTACCTTAGGTTTTTACTTATTTTTGTGCTCAAACCTTTTTTTTTTTTTTTTTAAGAATTGAGCTTCATTCACAGACACATTTATACTGTTTTTTTTTTTTTTTTCCTCCCCCAGCGATAAATAACAGATAACTGATCCAATTTTTTTTTTTTTTTTTGGCTTTCTTTCTTTTTAGACAGGGTCTCACTCTGCTTTTTTTTTTTTTTTTTAGTGGCATAATCATGGCTCACTGCAACCTTGACCTCGTAGGCTCAAGTGATCCCACCACCTCAGCCTCCTGAGTGCTGGGAATACAGGCGCCTGCCAGCATGCCAGGCTAATTTCTATATTTCTTGTAGAGATGGGGTTTCACCATGCTGCCCAGGCTGGTCTTGAACTCCTGGGCTCAAGCCATCCATCTGCCTTGGCCTCCCAAAGTGCTGGGATTACAGGCATGAGTCACAGTGCCCATCCTAAGTCCTCTTTTTAACTAAGCTAGCTTAGAGTGGTTTCCGTTTGCTGCAACCAAATGGTTCCAAAGTAATCCAATGCTTTTTTTCTCAAAGATAAGCATTTCACATCTCTCCCTCTCCCTTCAATCTGCCTTTCCGCAACCTGCTCACTCATTATTTTTTTTTTTTTTTTCTCTTTGTACTTAGTGAGTGCAAAGAGAACGTCCCCTTTTTTTTTTTTTTTTGTCTCCCTCCACAGGAAATGATTATCATACACTCAACAAAGCTGCAAGAGTCACCCTTGATTCCTTACTTTCCTATGCCTTCTTGGTTTTTTTTTTTTTTTTTTGCTATTAATTCAACTTGCAAAATATACTGAATCTGTTTTTTTTTTTTTTTTTCCACCATGACCACCCTAGTACTGGTGTACACCTGGCTAACTACAACAGCCGCAGTGCAGGTTGTACTTCTTTTTTTAATTTTGAGACATTTTTTTTTTTTTTTTCCAGGCTGGAGTGCAATGGTGCGATCTTGGCTCACCTTTTTTTTTTTTTTTTGGGTTCAAGCGATTCTCTTGCCTCAGCCTCCCGAGTTTTTTTTTTTTTTTTTATGTGCCACCATGCCCAGCTAATTTTGTATTTTTGGTTTTTTTTTTTTTTTTCCATGTTGGTCAGGCTGGTCTCGAACTCCCGACCTCTTTTTTTTTTTTTTTTCGGCCTCCCAAAATGCTGGGATTACAGGCATGAGCCTTTTTTTTTTTTTTTTCAGGTTGTACTTCTACTGTCAACCCACTAAAGTCCATTTTTTTTTTTTTTTTCTGAGTCATTTTTTAAAACATAAATCAGGCCAAGTGTTTTTTTTTTTTTTTTTTATTCCAGCACTTTCAGAAGTCAAGCTGGTGGGTCTTTTTTTTTTTTTTTTTCGAGACCAGCCTGGGCAATGAGACCAGCCTGGGCCACATGATGAAACCCCACCTCTACAAATAATACAAAAATTACCCAGGCATGATTTTTTTTTTTTTTTTTCCCAGCTACTTGGGAGACTGAGGTAGGAGGATTGCTTTTTTTTTTTTTTTTTAGACTACAATAAGCTGTGATCAGGCTACTGTACTACTTTTTTTTTTTTTTTTTGAGACCTTGTCTCAAAAACAAAACAACAACAACAATTTTTTTTTTTTTTTTCAGTGGCTCACACCTCTAATCCCAGCACTTTGGGAGTTTTTTTTTTTTTTTTTGCTTGAGCTCAGGAGTTTGAGACCAGTCTGGGCAGTTTTTTTTTTTTTTTTTTCTACAAAAAAAAAAAAAAAAAAAAAATTATAAAATTTTTTTTTTTTTTTTGCACGCACCTATAGTACCAGCTACTTGGGAGGCTGATTTTTTTTTTTTTTTTCAGCTCAGGAGGCAAAGGTTGTGAAACTGCACTCCATTTTTTTTTTTTTTTTTGGACCCTGTCTCAAAAAAACCAAAAAACCCCCAAATTTTTTTTTTTTTTTTAATCCTTTCCTCTTCTTAAAACCCTCTAGTGGCACCTTTTTTTTTTTTTTTTAAAATCCCATCTTCTCACGTCCTGTTAGCCTCTACCTTTTTTTTTTTTTTTTTGATTACGCTTCAGCTCACTGACATCTTGGCTTTCCTTTTTTTTTTTTTTTTCTTTCTCACCCCTAGGCTATTTATTTATTTTATTTTTTTTTTTTTTTTTTTTCAATATTGCCCAAGCTGGACTTGAACTCCTGGGCTCTTTTTTTTTTTTTTTTTCAGCCTCCCAAGTAGGTAGGACTACAGGCACATGTCCCTGCACCCAGCTTGGCATATTTAATGATCTAAATGTTCCCTCATTTTGGAAGGCTTTTCCTCAGCCTGAGGAGCATATTACCATCCTTCAGGTCTAGGCTCAAAGATCCCCTCCTCAGAGTCACCATCCTCCCTAACAATCCTAGCTAAAGCAATTTTTTTTTTTTTTTTCTTCTCATGAGCCTGTCTGCAGTCATCACATTCTGTTTTTTTTTTTTTTTTTTGTTTACTGCCTATTTCCTAAAGGTTGGTGATGGCATTTTTTTTTTTTTTTTTATTCTCTGCTATAACTCTGGTGTCTGGCATAAAACAGGTGTTCAACAGACACTTGAAAGAACAAATTAAAAGAATTTAAAAAAACAATTTTTTTTTTTTTTTTTACAGTGATCAGCAATATACCACATGATTCACTACATTTTTTTTTTTTTTTTAAGGGACAGAATGAAACGGTGCTGAGGGAAGTGTTCTTTTTTTTTTTTTTTTTGAGACAGAGTCTCGCTCTGTTGCCCAGGCTGGAGTTTTTTTTTTTTTTTTTGGCTCACCGCAACGTCCGTCTCCTGGGTTCAGGCAATTCTCCTGAGTAGCTGGGATTACAGGCACGCGCCACCACGCCCAGCTAATTTTTTTTTTTTTTTTTTTGAGACAGGGTTTCACCATGCTGGTCTCGAACTCCTGTTTTTTTTTTTTTTTTGCATCAGCCTCCCAAAGTGCTGGGATTACAGGCATGTTTTTTTTTTTTTTTTCCCATTTATGTTTAAATCTTACATCAAAGACCAAGATTTTTTTTTTTTTTTTATATCACCATGAACAGGTGTGACCAAATGACAAGCTTTTTTTTTTTTTTTTTAAACCAGGGATCCAGACTATAAAAAGTAATTTTTCATTTTTTTTTTTTTTTTGCTAGTACTCACTGCCTCCACAGCCCTTACTGTTCCTTTTTTTTTTTTTTTTCTCTGCTCAGGACTTACCAGCCATCACGGAGTAGTTTTTTTTTTTTTTTTTTGGATCCAGGTTTATAACTTGGACAGACCGGTTGAGGGCTTCACAGTGCTGGACCATGGTGGCACAGTAGGTGCTCTGTAATGTCACAATTTTTTTTTTTTTTTTGCAACAGGCAGTGTAGTGCTACTTTCCATACTCTGGTTTTTTTTTTTTTTTTGTCACAACTATGCCTTCACCAACCAAGAGGCTGACTTTTTTTTTTTTTTTTTGATATCTGACTGGGCTGCAGATTCAAACCTGACTTATTTTTTTTTTTTTTTTTGGGGAATTTACTTCTCCACTCTGCCCCTAAACTTTCTTGTCTCTAACTGGGATGTCCTCCATAATCACTAAGGCTCCTTACTGCTCTTTTTTTTTTTTTTTTTTATTTAAAGGGAAGACTTCTGGTTACACAGTGTAACACCTAACACAGTGTCTCTACCAGGACTTGTACAATCCAAACAAACCTTTAGGTTTTTTTTTTTTTTTTGATGTCTCTGAGTAGGGGATATCTGAGTATATGACATTTTTTTTTTTTTTTTAAGGGGAAGAGCATTCCAAGATGAAGGAATGCCAAGTTTTTTTTTTTTTTTTGAGGTGGCTATCAGTTTGTAACGTTTGGTTTAGATATTTTTTTTTTTTTTTTGTTGTTGTTACCATACTATGTTAAAATCTGGGGCTGGGTGCAGTGGTTTACGCCTGTAATCCCAGTACTTTGGGAGGCCGAGGTAGGCTTTTTTTTTTTTTTTTGGAGTTCAAGACCAGCCTGGCCAACATGGTGAAACCTTTTTTTTTTTTTTTTCACAAAAATTAGCCGGGCGTGGTGGCATATGCCTGTTTTTTTTTTTTTTTTTGAGGCTGAGGCAGGAGAATCACTTGAACCCAGGAGGTTTTTTTTTTTTTTTTCTGAGATCACACACCACTGCACTCCAGCCTGGATGATTTTTTTTTTTTTTTTGCTCAAAAAAAAAAAAAAAAAAAAAAAAAAAATTCTTTTTTTTTTTTTTTTTTCATCCTCTGTTTAAAGGCAGAGATGTGTCATTCCGTTTTTTTTTTTTTTTTATTAGCACAATACCTACTACATAATAAATACTTGATTTTTTTTTTTTTTTTTCTTATTATGTTTAAAGATAAGCTCCACAGGACAGGGTTTTTTTTTTTTTTTTTTTTTTTCCCCACACAACCTCCAGGGCCCAAAACATGCTTGGGAGAAAGAACATACTCAACAAATGTTTCTGATAGCAGGCATCAAAATTTTTTTTTTTTTTTTGTTTAACACAATCAGTCCAAAAATTAAAATAGACTATTTTTTTTTTTTTTTTTCTTGCTGTCCTCTCAGTGCCTTTACACATACTGTTTTTTTTTTTTTTTTTTTTTTTTTTTTTGACAAAGGGTCTCACTGTCACCCAGTTTTTTTTTTTTTTTTACCATCATATAGCTCACTGCTGCTTTGACCCAGGCTTTTTTTTTTTTTTTTTCTTAGCCCCCCCGAGTAGGTGGGACTACAGGCTCTGTTTTTTTTTTTTTTTTAATTTTTGTATTTTTGGTAGAGACAGGGCTTCACCATTTTTTTTTTTTTTTTCTTGAACTCCTGGGCTCAAGTGATCTGCTGGCCTCATTTTTTTTTTTTTTTTGGACTACAGGCTTAAGCCACCACACCTGGCCACATCTTTTTTTTTTTTTTTTGACAGGTCATTATTTGTCTTCCCCAAAAGACTACAGTTTTTTTTTTTTTTTTAGGTCATCACTCACCACAGCCTCAACCTCCTGGGTTTAGGTAATCCTCCCACCTCAGCCTCCCAAGAAGCTGGGACTACAGGTGCCTGTTTTTTTTTTTTTTTTATTTTTGCATTTTTTTGTAAAGACAAGAGTTTCCCATTTTTTTTTTTTTTTTTCCCAAACTCCTGGCTCAGGCGATCCGTCCACCTCCTTTTTTTTTTTTTTTTGGATTACAGGCGTGAGCCACCACGCCTGGCTATGTTTTTTTTTTTTTTTTTTTTTGATCCATATCTTCACCATTCCCACTGTATTTGATTTTTTTTTTTTTTTTCTTAATATTTGTTTACAAGAAAAAATTTTATCCCTATTTTTTTTTTTTTTTTAGTTACATTTGACATAACGTGAAGTTAGACATAAAATTTTTTTTTTTTTTTTAATGTTCTTAATTTTAGCTAAATACAAGTGCCTATTTTTTTTTTTTTTTTTTAGAACTGCTCTCTGAAAAGACCTGAGGATTAAATAATTTTTTTTTTTTTTTTCTAGCACCGAGCACAATTTCTCCTAAATGCGAAAAATTTTTTTTTTTTTTTTAAGGCAACAATTTCCTCAATACATGATCTGATGCTCTTTTTTTTTTTTTTTTTGTACCACCTAAAAGCACCTTAAATACCAAAAGTCCTTTTTTTTTTTTTTTTGAAACAGTAATTAACGAGACCCCACTTTACCCTCCTTTTTTTTTTTTTTTTTCGGATTCTGGAGTTTAGACAAAACTGGATTTAAATTTTTTTTTTTTTTTTTTAACTTAACCTTTCTGTGTCTCGTTGTCTGCAAAATGTTTTTTTTTTTTTTTTCACAGGGTTGTTGTAGAAATCAGCAAGGCGTTTAATTTTTTTTTTTTTTTTTAAGTATCCAATAAATATTAACAACTACCATTATTTCTTTTTTTTTTTTTTTTCAAAAAACACGAAGCCAGACAGCATAAATGAGTTGCTTTTTTTTTTTTTTTTCCCAATACACATACCCGCCGCCTCGCTCCCTCACGATTTTTTTTTTTTTTTTCCCCATGAACCCCTACTTTTCTCTCCTTGTCCCCTCTTTTTTTTTTTTTTTTGCTGCCCGCGGGGCCCATGACGAGCTGCGCATAGCGTTTTTTTTTTTTTTTTGGAGCCGCCCGCCACACTCCCTCAGCCTTCGCGCGATTTTTTTTTTTTTTTTGGAAAGTGAAGTGCGAACCAATCGCAATCCACATTCTTTCTACGTCTCCATTTCTACCACACCTCCTTCTACGGGACAGCCCGCGGGCTTTTTTTTTTTTTTTTCGCATCCTGAGACAAAAGTGGAGGGGCGAAGGAGATTTTTTTTTTTTTTTTTGAAGTAGTTGTTGGAAATCGGCCGTTGGGATGCAGGTTTTTTTTTTTTTTTTGGGTAATAACGGATAACAGATAAAACTCCGCATCCTTGAGCCGCGTGCTTCGGTCCGTGGTTTGCGTGCAGACTTTTGACCTGTATGGTTTTTTTTTTTTTTTTCAAATGTGTTGAGGATCTGGAATACTGAAGTGGAAATTTTTTTTTTTTTTTTGGAGCATGTATATTTCCCTCCTGTGACGCACTGCTTTTTTTTTTTTTTTTTTGTGCAAACGCTCAGCTACCGCAGCGCTCCTGCCCCTTTTTTTTTTTTTTTTTGGGGTCGCGGATCTGCCCGCCCCGCTCTCCCGAAGCTTTTTTTTTTTTTTTTGAACGGCTTCGGAGGGGCGAGAAGCCGGCATCGGAACCGCCTCTCCGGAATACCAGCCGCCTGACGCACGCGTGCTGTCAGGGGAGGGTTTTTTTTTTTTTTTTTCCCGCACACGGCTCGCGGTCTCGGCGCCGCGGAGATTTTTTTTTTTTTTTTTGGGTCCGACTGGACGGAGCGTAGCTCTTCTGCAGATTTTTTTTTTTTTTTTGGGACCGAGGGTGGCGGCGGCGGGTGAGGTTGGGGGTTTTTTTTTTTTTTTTGGCAGCGTGGGGCCCCCGGGTCGTGAGCCCCGTGAGTTTTTTTTTTTTTTTTCGTGCGTCTCGGGCTGGCTCCGGTGCCCTCAAGTGATTTTTTTTTTTTTTTTGTGTTGTGGACGGGAGGGAAGAGGGGAGGACTGCCTCGCGGTTGAGGGAGGGCCTCTGAGGGAAGCCTCGGAGGAGCGTTTGGTGCAGTTTTTTTTTTTTTTTTGCGACAGTCGCCCGCGTGCATCTCTCTGCCCCGAGGTTTTTTTTTTTTTTTTACTGGGACATTTGCTGTCTGGCACAGGACGGTGTGTCCACCGAAAGGCGAGGCGGCGGGAACAGAGGAGGAAGATGTCCCCCAGTTCATTTTTTTTTTTTTTTTCCCATAAACCAGTTCCTTCCCTCTTGTGACATGAGCTTTTTTTTTTTTTTTTGGGGATTTCTTTCTTTTTGTTTTCTTTCTTTTCTTTTTTTTTTTTTTTTTTTCTTTCTTTTTGAGTGTGAGACAGAGTCTCGCTCTGTTTTTTTTTTTTTTTTTCAGGGGTGCGATCTCGGCTCACTGCAACCTCAGCCTTTTTTTTTTTTTTTTTTCTCCTACCTCAGCCTCCCGAGTAGCTGGGATTACATTTTTTTTTTTTTTTTCCCGGCTAATTTTTGTATTTTTAGTAGAGATGCGGTTTTTTTTTTTTTTTTTGGCTTGTGCCGAACCTCTGACCTCAAGTGAGCCGCCTTTTTTTTTTTTTTTTAGTGCTGGGATTACAGGGTGAACCATTGCGCCCGACTTTTTTTTTTTTTTTTTAATCGCCAGTGAGACCAATGACTGAATATCCAAGGTTTTTTTTTTTTTTTTTTTTTCTTCACACACTGAAGTTCCTTTTTTCACAAATTTTTTTTTTTTTTTTCAGGTTTTTACACCTATTTCCTGGATAGTGAAGACATTTTTTTTTTTTTTTTACTGCTGGAGACTCTACCTCCTCTTCCTCTCCCTCCTTTATTTCCTAAAAGCAAGAACTGCGATATGTTTGCCGTTCAGTACAACCCATTTTTTTTTTTTTTTTTGCACCCGTGGCCATCCTTTTTTGTTTTTGAGACGGTTTTTTTTTTTTTTTTCCAGGCTGGAGGGCAGTGGTGCGATCTTGGCTCACTTTTTTTTTTTTTTTTTGGGTTCACACCATTCTCCTCCCTCAGCCTCCCCAGTTTTTTTTTTTTTTTTTGCGTGCCACCACGCCCGGCTAATTTTTTGTATTTTTTTTTTTTTTTTTTTTTCACCGTGTTAGCCAGGATGGTCTCCATCTGACCTCGTTTTTTTTTTTTTTTTCCATCCTTTTTGTATCTGGTGCTACTGAAGACTTCTTAAAGATGGGATGGAGTCTTCTTGGGTTTCTTTTCTGTTCTTCATAATCCTTTTTTTTTTTTTTTTTTCTAGTGTATCAGGAGATACATTAACTTTTTTTCTTTTTTTTTTTTTTTTTTTTCCCTCTGTCACCCAGGCTGGAGTGCAATGCCACAATCTCAACTCACTGCAACCTCCGCCTCCTGGGTTCAAGTGGTTCTCCTGTCTCTTTTTTTTTTTTTTTTTAGACTAGAGGTGTGCGCCACCACACCCGGCTAATTTTTTTTTTTTTTTTTTAGATGGGTTTCGCCATGTTGGCCCAGGCTGGTCTTGTTTTTTTTTTTTTTTTCGATCTGCCTGCCTTGGCCTCCCAAAGTACTGGGATTTTTTTTTTTTTTTTTTGTGCCCAGCCAAGTCCTAGAAGCTTTTATTATGATCCCCACTTTATGGATGACAAAACAGGCACAAAGAGGTTGTTTGTCCTCTTCTTTTATCTCCCCCTGTCGTTCATCTCCATGCCACCTTTAGTTTATCCAAACTCTTTTTTTTTTTTTTTTAAAACTTTCAGTTTGGTTTAAGGAACCCCATTAAAATTTTTTTTTTTTTTTTAATTTATGAAAAGCTATATTCCCAGAAATACAAAATTTTTTTTTTTTTTTTTAATCAGGTTTATTATGCTACATCATACAATTTTGGCTTTTTTTTTTTTTTTTAAATCATCCATTCCAGTCATATTTACTAATCTGAAATTTTTTTTTTTTTTTTAAAAA